CCCCAAAACCCCAAAACCCCAAAACCCCAAAACCCCAAAATTTTTGTAAATTATTGAAATATTAAATCAAGCAGCATCACTACATCTTAATGCTGGATAAGCCAGAAACTTAGACACTAAATCACAAGAAGAGCTGATGGAACAGACTCCAAAATGAAACGTAGATGGCTGAAATCTCACAGCAAAGTACCTACATAACTTGATGAGGATAAGAGTTTGACAAGAGCATTACCAACCTGACCATAAAGAAAGCTGGACTCGAATAGTACCCTGTAAAGAAGTAGAGCAAGCCCTTGGACTGTTCACTACTTGTATGAAGAACTTTACGATAGCTAATGATTCCAACGAAGGTGAGGGCCTTAATGAAGACATACAATCATTTAATGCCAAAGTAGCTCGAACGACTGATGAATTTACAAAGTTGGAGCAAGAAGAAGATCCCAAAAAATTGGAGGAAATGGAACAAGAATTAATCAATTTAATCACTGAACTCAGAAAAAATGAGTCATTCAAGCAGTTCTGAGTTAAACATTACATGCATCTAATATGAGAGTATTTGAATATTCAGATAGATGAAATTGAACGTTTCATCGATACAAAGATTGACACAATATCGCTTGAGCAAAAACTCAAGCAAAGTGAGGATGGACTTAAAAATCTTAATAAAGAACTTAATGAATGTAGAAAGAAATTTGTTAATACGGTTGGGACTACAACTATACCTGATTTTGAATTGTGATATGAACTAATAACTAGCTCAAAGGCAACAATTTCTCCAGCTTCAAAGCTTATCTTAGATTGCTACAAGCCACAAGATATTAATTTCATGCAGTGCATGGGTGACAATATTCTTCCAAATTTTAATCACTTAAGTATTAGGAGGATAGATGAAAACTTAAATCTAGTTAACAATTTTGTACTTTCATCATTTCCACAAAATGTCAAAGGATTCTCTCTGAACACTAATGGCAAACTCATAGATTGAGAACCAGTCATGAACTTGATTATTCATACAAGCTCATCAGTATTACAATCAATGTATCTTTCTAATTTTATAATAAGTCAATCTCAACTGAAAACGCTTCTTCAAACTACCTGTAAGAATCAAAGCGAACTTCATTTTTTGCATTGCCAAATGATGTTGGATTCAGTTCCCAATTTAAACTACTGATTGAGAGGATCAAAAATTAAAGCTTTAAACTTCTCTAATTGCGGTCCTTCCGGATATTGCGACTTCGAGAACCATCCAGAGAGATTTGAAAATTTAATAAACGCTTTATCCCAAAGTAGTGACTTCAAGAAAAACTTTAGCGCTATTTGTTTATCTAGATGAGGAATGGCAAAGCTCTATGTAGAAGACACACTGAAAAAGTTTGAATTTCAAGAAGTCACCATTGAGAAGCACTCAGTGTAATTTAACTAAACTAATTTCCTAATTTTTTTCAATCTTCTGTGTCTAACCTGGGGTTTTGGGGTTTTGGGGTTTTGGGG